GGAAAGAAGCTGTCAATAGTGAAATAGAATCCATATTGAGCAACCATACTTGGGAATTGGTTGATCTTCCTCCAGGTAACAAAACGTTGGGTTCTAAATGGATTTTCAAGAAGAAAATGAAAGACGATGGTACTATTGACAAATACAAGGCAAAACTTGTTGTCAAAGAATTTAAACAGCGAGAAGGTCTTGACTATTTTGACACATACTCGCCGGTAACAAGAATTACATCCATTCGGATGCTAATAGCATTAGCCGCCTTGTATGATCTTCAAATCCATCAAATGGATGTAAAAATAGCTTTCTTAAATGGTGATTTAGAGGAAGAAATCTACATGGACCAACCTGAAGGGTTTTTGGTTCCGGGAAAAGAAAAGAAGGTGTGTCGACTTGTTAAGTCTCTTTATGGACTAAAACAAGCACCCAAGCAATGGCATGCGAAATTTGACCAAACAATGTTGTCAAATGCCTTTAAGATTAATGAATGTGATAAATGTGTTTACATTAAGAACGTTCCAAATCATATAGTCATTGTTTGCTTATATGTTGATGATATGCTAATAATGAGCAAAGACATTGCCGACATTCAAGCTACTAAACGCATGCTTGCTAGTAAGTTTGATATGAAAGACTTAGGAGTTACCGATGTAATTCTAGGAATTAAAATCCAGAGGACTCCTCAAGGTCTAGCTTTGTCTCAATCACATTACGTGAAATTGGTACTTGAAAAATTCAAACACTTGGAATTTAGAAGTGCAAGAACTCCAATTGACTTAAATCATCATCTCATAAAGAATAGAGGTGAAAGTACGTCTCAATTGGAGTATGCTTGTGTGTTGGGAAGTTTAATGTACATCATGAAATGTACACGACCTGATATAGCTTGTGCGATAAGTAAACTTAGTCGATTCACAAGTAATCCCAACAAACATCACTGGGTAGCAATGAAACGAGTTCTAGGATATTTGGAATATACCCAAGACTACGCTTTGCACTACAATAAATATCCTGCGGTTATCGAAAGATATAGTGATGCAAATTGGATAACCGGCTCAACAGAAACAAAGTCCACAAGTAGATATGTTTTTACTGTTGGTGGAGGAGCAGTATCTTGGAAGTCTTCCAAACAAACGTGCATTGCTCGCTCTACAATGGAATCAGAGTTTATAGCTTTGGATAAAGCCGGTGAAGAAGCTGAATGGCTTCGAAATTTTTTAGAAGACATTCCGTTCTGGCCAAAACCTTTGGCTCCTATTTGCATACATTGCGATAGTGAGGCTGCAATAGGACGGGCAGGGAGCGTTATGTATAACGGAAAGTCTCGTCATATACGACGAAGACATAACACCATTAGACAACTACTTTCTAGTGGAATTGTCACTATTGATTATGTAAGATCAAAGGATAATGTGGCGGATCCGCTTACAAAAGGCTTAACTAGAGAGGGAGTTGAGAAATCATCTAAGGGAATGGGACTATGGCCGAGGACAAGTCAACATGGCGGTAACTCTACCTAGAATTTTGGATGTTCCGAGATCTAGGTTCAAGGAGCTCAAACAAAGTTGTGATTGACCGGTTGAACATTGTCAAAATAAAATCTTTGGTCCATTGTCGTGATGAAGACAATGTTCAGTAACAAGGATAGAACTTTACACGTTCTTTAATGATTACCTAATTTTGATGAGGTATTTATCAAATAGTGTCAATCTAAAGAATTACACGTTTAGGAATCACCTATGTAAGTGTGAAGTGGAAGCCGCTTCAATGAGAATTATGTAAGGCCAATTCTCTACGCACTTATGAGACCAGGCGGTGTTCATGGCTGAAACGAACACAACAATGAGAACTAAAAGACGGTTAAGGGTTGATTGTGTGACATATGGTTGTCTAGGTATACACTAAAGTTCGACGGTTCAAAGATATCAATGCTACCGATTGACCGAGTATATCCGACATATGTTCACTACGGAAAGTTCAAAGGGAAACCTACTTATCCAGATGCAATTAATCCTTACTTGCAAAATCACATAGCTTTCATCTATGATCTTTCTTGATACAGCCATTCCCATTCATGTGGGGGATTGTTGGACTTTAAGCCATTGGGCTTTAAAGTAGAAGAAGTGTGAATTGGAAATGGAGGGAAATAAAATGGAGGAAAATTAAAAATTTGAAGAAGTGAACTTTTGTCTTGCACTTTGCCCCTCATTGGTGAGGGACAACCACATTTGTGTGCTTATATATAGAATCACTTCTTAAAGCTCTTAAAAGGAGTTGAAGAGAATGAACCCTCGCGCCGTCGTCGTTGCTCGGCTCGGCTTCGGCTTTGGATTTGGATTTGGATTTGGATTTGGATTTGGATTTGGATTTGTCAAATGATCGATCGATAAGATTATTTTTTGGACAAAATTTATTTAATTATTTAATAATTAATTAAATGCCAAATCACTGCTGAAAATACGCCAAAGGTTCAGAGGGCCTCTTTGGCCGCGGTTCTGCCGCGACCGCGGTAGAACCGCGACAGGCAGGTTCAGAAAGCCCCTCTGACCGCGGTTCTGCCGCGATCGCGGTAGAACCGCGGCAGGCAGCGTATTCTTCTGAAAATGCACCTTTTCTAGACACCTCTTCTGATAATTGCCTATAAATTCTGAGGCAAGGCTCCATTTTCTACACACGAAAAACACTCCAGAACTTCTTTCTTTCTGAATATACTGCATCCTAATTCGCAGTCTCTCTCTCTCAAATTCGTAAGTGTGATTTTGCTCCGTTCTTTGAGTTCGTTGGTATCCTGCAGTTTGTATTGCCACTGTTGGAGGAAGGTTTATTCCGTTTTATCCTGGGAGGATTTAATCCATTACCTTGGCAACGTGTGAGGGGGTTAAAATTCCTTAAGGACACACTAGCAAATTGTGGACTCGGAATATTTCTTAAACTCTACTAATTTCCAGATTTCTTTAATTCTTCTAACAGTTTTGTTTTCCTGATTTTGTGTTTTAACACAGTAACGCTCACATTGAAAGCTGTACGATAGTCCTCGTGTTCAGTTCATTATCTTCGATCGACGACCCTAAATTTGCGAGGGCATCAGCCTCGCCATTCTGTTCCCGAGGTACGTGCTATAGCGTCCATTCTTTAAATCGACGTAGAGACACTTGTAACTTGTCTAAGTACCTCTGCATGCAATCCTCTCGAACCTCAAAAGTTCTGCTGACCTGATTTATCACTAGTTAGGAGTCACACTTGGCCTCGATGATATCGGCTCCCAAGCTCTTCGCTAGTTCGAGACCTGCAATCATGGCCTCATGCTCGGCCTCATTGTTAGTCAATTTTGAAGTTCTGATAGACTGCCTAATCGTATTGCCTGTGGGTGGCTTCAAAACGATGCTTAGCCCGGACCTCTTCACATTTGAAGCACCATCTGTGAAAAGGGTCCATACCCTCGAGGATGTACCTGATTTTAGCAATAGTTCATTTTCGACCTCGGGTACGAGGGCTAGTGTGAAGTCCTGCTAAGATTTGAGACTTGATGGCCGTTCGAGATGATACTCGATATCGTACCCACTGATTTCGACGGCCTATTTGGCCAATCGTCCCGAGAGTTCGGGCTTGTGTAGAATGTTGCGAAGGGGGTAGGTGGTTACAACACAGATAAGATGGCATTGAAAATAAGATTTTAATTTCCTAGAGGCGCTTATTAGGGCAAGTGCTAATTTTTCTTAAGTGTGGGTACTAGGTTTCTGCCTCACCTAAAGTTCGGCTAACATAGTAAACAGGAAATTGCGTACCTTGCTCTTCTCGAACTAGGACACCACTTACCGCGATCTCCGAGACTGCCAAATATAAGTAGAGTTTCTCGTCCGCTTTCGGAGTATGAAGCAATGGTGGGCTCGAAAGATACCACTTTAATTCTTCGACCGGTTACGGATATCTCGCCTTTCCGTTATTGCACTTCACTCGAAGTTGATCATACTTAATCTCGATTGATGCTGGCCTCGGTCTCAACGGACACTTCGATCTTTAGAGTCGATGCCTCGTCTTCGAGCTCGGGTCTGATTCATTATGAAGCTACTCCGATGCAACTCTTTTGACTCGATCAAATAGCAAAATCGGGTTGACCGTATACAACTAATCCATCTATTAAAATCCTTGTATAACTTATTTCGACCCCTAATTGTTAACATACGGCAGGATCCATACACCTGCTTTCATCCCCAATCCATAGAGCAAGCAACCATCAAGTAATCGTCTTGGACAAGCAATATTATAATTTTAGAAAACTAAATCATTAGCTGACTATAACGCTTTAAATATTGTAATTTTATCTCACACGAAACTATTTATATAAAGGAATTATTTAGCTCAAGAAGGATATAATAAAATGGTCGGTTACTATTTTGACTTCATAGGAATAATACTTATTCTACTTTAGTATATTTCCTTTGAATTTTTATTTTTTTTTGGTAATCAGATCATTATTTGTTTTGTTAAAAGGTATGAATAATAAACAAAAGAAAGCACAGCCCAAAATCAGGCCCACCCGAAGTTTCCTATAAGAAACTATTTGGACCAAAATGTATTTCTTTAGAACTCTATCAATTTATGTTTAGTTGACTTTAAGACTTTAAATACTACTCTATAATTTTATCCAACACTAAATTTCTATATAACAGAATTATTTATCTTTAGAAGAATATAGAATTAGTCGTTAAAATTTTGTTTGAAAGGAAAAATTTCTTATTAATTACTTTAGTATATTTTCTTGGATTATCTTGCCGTTTTATTTATCAGATCATTATTTGTTTATTAAAAATTTAAAATAATTAACAAAAGAGAATCTGAAATAAACATAAGGTAACAACCTCAATTTATGTTCAATGATGATCAGATTATAAAATTTTAGCCTGCAATCATTTTCAACTAACATGAAACACTATTTTTTAAATTTAAATAAGAATGAAATTATGAACCGGATAATCCATGAAACCCTATGCTGTTATAGATGAACCTGCGGGCACGTTCTCCTACCGCATTAGTCATGAGACAAGCTTAATTTATATTATTTGAAACAGAAATTTTCAACTGGAAGAGCTTACCCATATCTCACAATTCCAGTCTTCAATAATACCTCTAATCCAAACCCTATATCAAGGATTTCAATTCCAAATCCACTTCACAAAATATACACACAAACACAAAGTGCACCCCAAGCTGCAAACTAAAAAAGATACATAGAAATTTCAATCTTCCCACTTCTGACGATCCAGCTATAAGTTCCTAGGCATTCTAATATCGGAGATTGAACCCGATCCTTTCTTTTTTCTTCTAATTGGATTTTGTTAATTGTATTATTCGTACATGATCGAAGATGTATAGCAATTTCAAGGCGCAAGCGATTGAGTATGTGAACCAAGCAGTGCAAGAAGACAACGCTGGTAACTATGCAAAAGCATTTCCTCTTTATATGAACGCTTTGGAGTACTTCAAAACCCATCTAAAGTACGAGAAGGACCCTAAGATTAAGGAGGCCATTAATAAGAAATTTACTGAGTATTTGCATCGCGCTGAGGAGATCCGGGCAGTGATGGATGATAGTGGGACCGGGTCAGGTTCGAGTGGAGGGGATGCAGCTACCAGGCCCAAGGATGGAAAAAATGGAGAGGATCCAGAGCCGTCCGAGTTGACGGCTGAGCTTAACTTCGTTCCTTTCAGGTAAAAATTTAATGGGGGTGACAACCAGTTTCCACCCTACTATTTAAGCTATATTCAGTTTTCTGTTTGGGTTTGTAATTGTACAAAATTCTTAATATGATCGGAGATGTATAGCTCATTCAAGGAGCAAGCAATTGTGTATGTGAAGCTAGCTGTGCAAGAGGACAACGATGGTAACTATAATAAAGCATTCTCTCTTTACATGAACGCTTTGGAGTACTTCAAAACCTATTTAAAGTACGAGAAGAACCCTAAGATAAAGGAGGCCATTACTATGAAATTTAACGAGTATTTGCACCGGGCCAAGAAGATTCGAGCCATGTTGGATGAGGGTGGGAGTGGTCCTAGCCCGAGTGGAGGAGATGCAGCTATGGCTACAAGGGACAAGACAAAGCCTGAGGATGGAGAAGATGGTGAGGATCCTAAATAGTCCAAGTTGAAGGATGTGCTTAATTCCACGATTGTTAGGTAAAAAAATTTGGGTACCAAGTTTTTGCCCGTCTACTTGAGTTCCAGTTATTTAAAATTATTTAGCATATAATCAGTATTTCAAGACTTTAGTCAAAAGTACTTTTTTCTTCTTCTTCTTCTTCAAACTCTTCCTAAGAATTCATGCGTGTCTGTCCATCATGCAGGGAAAAGAAAGGATTTTTAACGAGTTGTTGGTCAAAGTCATGGTTTATTAAAAGCAAATCAATAGAGTGAAGACAGCCAAATATGCCTCTCCTGTTTGGTTACAACTTGTTTGGGCAGTCGTCATTACCTATTGTATTGTATTGCACTTTTATTTTAAATAAAATGTATATTGTAATTGTTACTTAAGTTTTATTTTATTATATTGTTAAATTCGTTGTTACGTAACAATGAAAGCTTCATTTTATATAACGATCGATTTAATGCGGTTGGATCACCCACTATGCGCTACTTATTATATATATTTCATATTCTTATTTTTTTCATTTATTTTTAATTGAATTACAGCCCAACTGATAGAAATTAAAGGTCCACCAAACAATATAGAGAACTAGGTTCTCTATTAGTTCCCAGAGAACACACGCAAACTGCAGTAAGTAAATGACACAATGGAATTTTACGTGAAAAACTCCCAGATCCTTGTTAGGATTTTAACTTTACTACTGAACAAACTTTAGATTACAAACTATTGTAACCTAGGAATTAACCTCTTAATCCCTCACTAACTTGTAACAACACTATTACAAGCCACTTTGTAATAACTCTACTACAAAGACTTTACAACTCGACTAACTCTAGCAAGACACAAACACAAGGGTTTATTATTTACAAAGATTTCCTACACAATGCTTCTTACTAAGCTAAGTAGGAATTACAAGTAAGGTGCTTTAACAAAGGTACACCACAACCAAGGACATGTGATAACACGATACAGGGAATTGGTCCGTTGTTATGTTATTTTTTGTTCTTGATGCCCTTGAGAGTCACTTGCAAGATTGATAGATGACTTGAGAGAATTCTTGATCAATTCTTAAGTGTGCAAGTGATTTGTTTTTACCTTTCTTGATGTCAATTATTCATTTGCGACATCACTTTTAATAATGTAAGCAAGTTAGGTAAAGGGCATTCCCCATAAAGTTGATTGCTGCATTGTTTCTATATTATAGCATGTGCAGGTAGCAAGTTTACAGCTGGGGCAGTTGACTTGTACAGTCTCCTCGGGAACTGGTAGCCATCTGTTCCCTCTGCTGTTCCTTTGACCCTGAAGAGCTGAACTGTGTCCCCAACTGGAGACTTGTTGATCTTTAAGTTCTTGAGGATGTGTATCAGGTTCTTTATCTGGTTCTTAACAGTAAGTTTGTTAGATCATCAAAACATACAGGGATACACATATAACCTATCAATTTCCCCCTTTTTGATAATGACAAAGTTATAATTCAAGTTTCCCCTAAGAACCAGAATGACATTCACATTTCCTATATTCTCCTTGAATCTATTCCCCATCCTGCCCCCTCAATTATTTTTCCCCCTTTTGGCATCATAAAAAAGATCAGTAGCAAGCATTAAGCAAAAAGAAGTCCAACTTAGTTAACTCATGCCACATGTGTGCGTACAACATGACTAAAAACAGAAAATATGAGCAATGTATACACAATAAAAGGATGAAGCTTTCATTAACATTTTGGATCTTAAATAGGGAGCAGTTTCAATGTTACTAACACATCCACAGATTCATAACAGAAAAACATAAGTACCAGTTAAAGCATCATCATAAATTAATACAAAAGACATATACTAAGACTTAACACTGGAAGGGGACACTTTCTAGGAGCACTGGAAGGGGAAGGCTTAGAGGAAGAGGCTAGGGTTTTGAGGACTATATCCATTCGAGCGTTTACTGACATCTCCTCATTGAGCAGTTTCTCCTTCAGGTCCTCAACCTGTTTCTTGAGCTCGGCATTCTCCTTGGTCAGACGGTCAACCTTTGTGCTTTGAGAGCTACTAGAACCAGGTGCCTCCTGGAGCTGACTTAGCTGACCCTCAAGAATGGCATTCCTTGCCTTCAACTTTCTGATCTGATCATTAGCGCTATTTTGGGCGTTGATCAACTGGGAGATGGTAGAAGTGTTGCCAACCCCTCCAACCTTATCAATGCACTCACATTCCTCTAGGGTGATTTTGGAGAAGGTTTGATTATGAGTGCGCACCTTAGCTTTTTATAAAAGGACTTTGAAGAACTCAAACAACTTGGTGAGAAGGAACCAACATGGTTACCATTTTTAGACTCTGCCAACTTCTACATTTGTTCTATCATAATGCCAGCCAGGTTGATGGTTGTGAAGCCATCTAGCGCTTCCATGAGAACCAGGTCGGCTCGAGATGTAATTGACCTTCTCTCAGCACGAGGGAGAAAAACCTTGATCACCATCTCAAAGAGCAATTGGTACAATGGAAGGAGGCCCTTCTTGTGTACCCATTCCCTCTGCTGGACTGCCCAATCCTTCATGATAGCATTTCTAAAGTTTGAAGAGCAGAGCCTTGAATCGAAGAAAATTCCTCAGCAGGACACCAGAATAGATCCCAGCACAGCAGAGTCCATCACAAAGTCGACCCCATTCATCATCATGCAGATATGGTCATCCTCAACTGTGAAGAAGTCAGCACAGAAACTATGCACTTCCTCCTCATACACTTTGGGAGCATCACCTGTGAACAAGTGTGTCCACTATTGAAATTCACAAATTTCACCCAATTGCTTCATTCCATCAATCTCCAAAGTGTCAGGGACAAATGTACGACCCCATAAAACCTTCTGATTTTTCAATTTCTCTTTCCCAGCACTCTGGAAACCATAAACTTTGGCCTTCTTGGAGGAACCAGGTTCCTCGTATGTATCAACCTTCCATTTTATTGATTTATGAGCACTCTTTCCCTTCTCAGCAGACTTCAAAAACATTGTCTTCTCAGACACCTTTTTAACTAATTCTTCCATCACCTTTTCTCCAGATTCTTCCACTAACTTTTCTCCAGAGATATCACCATCAAACTTGTTCAGATTCTCAGCACTCACAGACGATCCCCCTTTAGACTTGGAGATAGAGTGCTTCTGTGAGCGCTTGCGAGTCAAGGAACCAGGTTCCTCGTTCGCTTCATCATCCACAGTGACAACAGGTACTACTTTCTCATTTATAACCTTCCCATCTTTCACCAATTTCCTCCTCCTTTGATTGTCTTGGCTTTTCTTAAGAGCAAACTCAAGAGCCTCTTTCTTTTGCAACCTTGTAGTAGGTCTTTTAGGAGTTGGCTCTTGATGGTCTACGCCTAGCCAAGCTAGCAATTGGCATATCATCGGAATCCTCTTCACTATCCCATTTTCTTCTCCAGATATAGATCTCATCTCAGGCACAACCACATACAGAGGCTCAACATAGAAATGAGGAGAGAGAGCAGGATCAGTACTGACCTGGGGTTCTTGAGAGGACCCTTGAGTTGGATCTGCCAAGGAAGGATTAGGTCCTTCATTAGGTTCCCTAGTAGCACTATCCGGTGCTGATGGTTAAACGGGCACAACTCCCTATTCTCCACTAAAATCTTAGTTTCTTCCTCCAAAGGCTTAGACACATTCTCACATTCCTCGATAACAACCTCTTCAACAGCTATAAACAACATTTTTCTATTTTTTCTTTTTCTTGTAACTCTAGGGAAAATGCAGGAGAAGAAGGAGCGTTACCTGTCGACTCAAGACTAGGGACTGGCATTGTTGAGTCAGCATTGATAGGACCAATAGCTTGGTCTGCATTAGAGCCTTCTTCCATAAGAAGACTGGACGTATCTTGATTTTACTCTTCTTCAACTGTATCCTTTTCACCCATTTTTTTCGGCGAGGCAGGAGGAAAGTTCATAGCCACAAACTTCTTAGGAGTTGAAGTTTTGCGATTTCGATGAAAACCAGTACTCGATTGGGTAGGAGAGGAGACAAAGGGAGGTGGTGACTCTGCCTTAGGGTTTTGACTGGTTGTGGTGGTGAGTGAGGATTCTATGATTGGCGTTTTAATAGGTGAAGACTCAATTGGGGTGATTTGGAACATTTGGGGTTTCTTGGTGTTCAGACATGGTAGGAAGCGGTGAGTTGAAGAGGAGAGAATATTGGTTTGAAAAGAGAAAAAGGAGATTTTAAAGTTTTGATGTGAATAGTAGTGAAAGTGATGGTGAAGGGAGGTACATCAATGTGCTTAGTTCTCTTATGTTGTCTCTGAGGAAGTGGCGATGCACATCAATGTGCTTAGTTCTCTTATGTTGGACTGGATTCTCGGCCATGTTGAGTGCATTGGTATTGTCACATAGTAAGGGCACACACTTAGAGAACTCACCAAAATCTTTCAGGTGCTGCTTAATCCATAACAGTTGAGCATAACAAGATGTTGCAGCCACATATTCAGCTTCTGCAGTAGAGAGGGACACTGAGTTTTGTTTTTTTGTACCCCATAAAATCAGACATGAACCCAAAAAATGTGCCATGCCACAAGTGCTTTTTTTGTCCACCAGATAGCTAGCATAGTCAGTATCCGCATATCCAATTAAATCAAAATTATCCCCTGAGGGATAGTAGAGATCCAGGTCCTGTGTTCCTTTAAGATATCTTAAGATTCTCTTGGCAGCTTTTAGATGAGATTCCTTTGGATTGGATTGAAACCTAGCACAAAGACCCACACTAAAAACAATATCTAGTCTGCTTGTTGTGAGGTACAGAAGTAACCTTATGGTATTGCTATACATGGTCTGATTTACATGGGAACCAGGTTCATCCATGTCTAGACGAGTATCTGTGGTGATGGGAGTGTCAATAATTTTTTATGTTTCCATGTTAAATCTCTTCAACTGCTCTTTCATGTACTTTTGCTGACTTATCATTGTCCCCTTTTGAGATTGCTTCACCTGTAGACCCAGGAAGAAATTTTGTTTCCCGCATCATACTCATTTCAAACTCATTCCCATGAGTTTTGCAAATTCTTCACATAAGGAGTCAACTGTTGCTCCAAAAATGATATCATCAACATAGACTTGCATAATGAGCAGGTTCTTTCCTCGTTTCTTCAGGAAAAAAATGTTGTCGCTTTTACCTCTTGTAAAGCCATTTTCTAGAAGAAATTTTGACAACCTTTCATACCAAGCACGGGGAGCCTGCTGTAACCCATACAAAGCCTTGTCGAGTTTAAAAATGTTAGGATGCTCATGATTCTCAAATCTAGGAGGCTGCTTGACGAAGACTTCTTCTTTTAGAAATCCATTCAGAAATGCACTTTTGACATCCATTTGGAACAATGTGAATTCCATATGTGATGCAAAGGCAATACGAATTCTGATAGCCTCAATTCGAGCGACTGGAGCAAAAGTTTCATCACAATCAATCCCTTTTCCTGATTGTAGCATTCAAAT